ATTTTGCACTAGAATCGACTTTTAATAGTCAAAATGTGAAAAATTCTGAAAAATTGTTGTATAAAGTATCTTTGACGACCGCTGCTTTCCAAATCGAACTCGGGGAGAAAACTAAATAGTCCACGTTGTAGAGCAAGTGCTGCTCTATCGTACTGGTACTACCACCATTCTGGGGAATTCGGGTTTTCTGATTGATTTTTTTCAACACTCTTCCTCACTAAGTCAACAAGAGAACCGCTCAAAAGTCCATGAAAAACTTTTTGGCTCCTATGAATTCTGATGCAGTTTCTCATGATGAATCTGAATATCTTATTGGTTTCAAAATTTGAGCGAAAAAAAATGTAATTTCATCGATTTTTCTATCAAATATTGTATTGATTTTTTGCAAAAATGCAAAAAAGTTCTAATAGTATTTGACCTGTATCGTTGCGAAAATAAGGTGTAACCCTAAAACTTTTATAACCAAAATGATCAGCGCAAAAAGCTCTACAAACCCTGAAAGTTTGAATGAATTTGGACATGGTCGCCGGATCGACTGGCGAAACCCCATGGAAACACCCTAAAATCAGATTTTTTCCAATCTTTTTTTTTTATATGAGTGATAATCTAAGTACTGACCATTTAATCTTTTACTGATCATTTATCTTACTGATCATTTCATATATTTTCCTGACCATTTCATTTATTTTACTGACCGCTTAATAATATCCCATAATTTTTGTTGCATCTTGTAAAAATTGTATTTGATCAGTAACTAAAATACAGATTTTATCATGAAGATATTTTTTAATTGATCTAAAGTAAATTCATCGATGTTTTGATGATGACGGAAAAAGAAATAATAATTTAATATTTACTTTTCAAAGAGATGTTTAGAAACGTTAGCATCAACAGCTCAAAGTGGATCATCTAATAGATAAATATCAGCATCACGATAAAGTACTCTTGCCATATTAACATGTGCTTTTTGATCCTATCTGTTTTTGAATAATACATCATTTGAATATTTTTTATATTTTAAATAGATTAATATATTTTACTCCAGATAACATAACACCTTGATCACCAACAAGTGTATTTGCACCATGAGATAATTGAACAAAATCCTATTTATTAAATACAATTACATATCATTTTGCATACTCAGTTAAATACGAAAGTTTAGAACACGTATTTATTTGCAATTGTTAGTTATAAATATAGGACAATAGCACATGCATGGAAATAGAATTTTTAAGTAAAACATATTCAATATAGAAATTAAAAGAGACCCACTATATCGAGAGCAGTTGCATGAACAACACGTTGAAATAATCTATGATTATATTCTTTACCAAAAAAGAATATTATTTTTTATTGATGATGAGAATATCCCTATACTAATTAATCATTGAACGAATTTCTGCATAATAATAATAATAATAATAATCTACTTACATGATTCTTGTGGTTCATAACAAAATGATTCATATAATCGAACTTTTCCATCAGAATAAGTTATTTCACCTGTTAATGTTTGTAAAAGCAAACTCTAAATAAATTAAATCAAAAGTGAAATTATAGCCAAGTGGGCAAAAAAGAAAAAGAACACAAACTTTTCCAGATCCAACAGGTCTAATAATACAGATTAAATCACCTGGAAGAGCATCGAATAGAATATTTCTCAATGAAAATTTTCCATTCTAAAATAGAATCAATTATCATTTTAGTCAGAAGTGAATTGATAAAAAAGATTTACTTTTTCCCATTGAACTTGTTTTAAATTACATATAAGTCCAGATGTTCGTTTTATTGAATTCTCATTAATCTTATCTATTGCTACAATATCTTTGGACGATGTTGATAATAGTCGATTGTCTCTTTCAGATTCATCAAGTAAGAGAAATGTCTATATATAGAAAGTTTCTTTTCAAATATAACAATCAAAAATCTATTTAAGCGAACTCGAATTCGTTTTTGAGCTGCAATATAATTAAGAACAAGTAACGCTCGTCGTTACGACTCGCTTAGCCCTCGACTGAATCCCGTCCATTCATTATCTATCATTACCTTCTAGATTTCATTGTGAAAACTATTGTTATATACACATACATGTATGAAAAAAACCGCATACTATTGTAGGAGACTACCACTTTCTAAAAAGATTTCGCTTTTCAATTTTCTCCTCGGATTTTCCAAATTTAACCGTAAGAGGCAGCTCACAGTTAGTCGCCGTGGTCAATACGAGCCACCACTCGCGACTGCTCGCTTTCGTATATGACACCAGTATGGTTTTAAACAGTCCTTCACTTTCTTCTTAATCCTTTCGCTCTGTGATTTGTTGACAAATTGTTAATGTTCCTAACCATTGCACGGAGTAACACACATTTTATTCGCATTTTTCTGCAAGACCTTCTTCCGTCTGAAGCTACAACGTCAGCCCTGTGCCTGTCATTATCGCTATTCTTGGTTCGTAACTCCTTATTCCAGTCCATTTATCGAGGATCAAAACTCATATTACCGCACTGAGTTTTTCGCAATTTCCAGACACTTTCAACCGGTGAGATTCGATCAACGAGCAATTTTATATAAATTCCGCCGGCCCAAGGTGTACCTTCGGCGAACCCGCCAGATCACGGGCTAGTCGTTCGTCGGCGCCACTGATGGCTAGCCGGTTTCATGCTTAAACCAACATTCCCAGTAAATCACCCTCTTTTCTTCGCATTCTAGTCGGGTCACGTTTGGCTTACTGCAAAACATTGTTGTATTTATAACCAAAAAATTTTAGGTCAGAAGTCCCAAAAATCATAGTTTCTTGTAATCTGTTCCTTACAGTTTTAATTGCCAGAGCTTTTGAAAAATCGATGTTCTACAAGGCATAGCTACTTGTGAACAAAGGAGAAAGGAAACTTCTAGACCGCTATAAGTACCGACTTCTCCCAGTCTTGCAACAATTGATTGCAGCAGAGCCGTACAATAAAAAAATCTGATTAACTCAGTTTCCAGCTGAAAAAAACTGGTTGAACAAAGCGAAATCGCGAAAACATTTCACTCACACAAACCTCAGCTTCGTAAAAATCTCATTGGGCAAAAGCGAGAGAGTGAGAAGATTTCATTGCTGAACCTCTTGCGCAAAAACCTTATTGGACAAGACTCGGTCAGCGAAAACATGATTCACTGGACTTCCTGACCATGAAAATCTGATTGGTCGAAAGCTCAACGTCAAAAAACGCCTGATTGGCTGGATTTTCGGCATAAAGAGTCCGATTGTTGAAACGCCACATATCGAAAATTTCCTCAAAGCAGATGTTTTTTTGACCCTGACACAAACACAGACGCATACAACCTTATTTTATTTCATATGACCCTCCCTACAGCCGAGGGAATAAGTAGTTAATAATTAATTAAAACTAACCTCAGATTCGAATTTTCCACCCTCGATTACCCGTTGGTCAAGTTTTATACAAAATATTAATAATTAATTAATAATCAGTTAATAATTAATTAATAATCAGTTAATAATTAATTAATAATCAGTTAATGATTAATTAATAATTAATTAAAACTAACGTCAGATTCGAGTTCCCCACCCTCGATTACCCTTTGGTCAAGTTTTATGTAGAAGCGGATGTTTTTTTGACCCTAATGTTTTTTTGACCCTAATGTTTTTTTTGACCCTAATGTTTTTTTGACCCTAATGTTTTTTTGACCCT